AAAAAATTTATGGACACCTATAGCTGTCACATTTTCTAGTCAATATGTTTTTTTTTTCCATTCAGTTGGAAATTATAACATTTTCAGTAAATATAGCAGCATAACAATGAAAATCAGACCCAGAGGAGTTTCTTTGCTATCTCCATTGCATGAAAAATTGGCCTTTTCTTCAGAGAGAACTTACTGAAATAGAAAAAGTTAGACTAACAGGCAAGGAGCCCTGGTGGCATAACGGCTGATCATTTGGCAGCTAAGTGAAAGGTTGGTGGTTCAAACCTCCCTGTGGCTCAGCAGAAGAAAAGACCTGGTATCTGCACCAGTAAAGATTACAACCTAGGAAACTCTATGGGGCAGTTCTACTCTGTCACATGGGGTCATGTAAGTCGGAATCCACTCATCACACAACAGACACACAGGCCTGATTAAATAAAGTCAGGTGTGGCTGTGGGGTGGGAGGAAGAGATGCGTCCGGTACCCGAGTTGAGAAGAGTGCGCTGGCCTCTGGGGAGGGCAGGCCCTGGTGTGCCCCCACTGTCGGTGGCCTGGGAGAGCTGCCCCAGAGGAGGAGGCTGCTGTGCTGGCTGTAGGCCGCAGGATGTGGCTTCGCTCACACCTGTGCCTAAGCCGATGCCGCAGCAGCACAGCACACAGGTAAGGAGCAGAGGCCTCTCTCTCACTGGGCAGTGCTTCCGGTACCACTGCTGCCAGGGGACATGCTCACTCCCTGTTGCCCTAAGCCTTGTCTCCACCATGCTGCCGTCACTTCAGTTTGCCTGATGTGCCGCCTGATGGGGCCGGTGACGGCTGGGGGGCACCAGCTGTTTGGTGGCACACCTGATGTGCAGCCGGCTGGGTGACCGGGAGCCATGTTAATTCAGGGTAATTTATGCGTCCTCGCGGCAGGTGCGAGGCCTGTCAGCCAGCCGGATGCAGGCTGGCAGTTGTCACCAGGGCCTGGAGGTAGCCCGCATCACGACACATCAGACAGATGGGTGATATTCTGTGGTGTAATGCTGTCTTCTGTTTTCCCTCCCCCCCAATCCCTGCACTGTCACCGCAGGGACGCTCCGGACGCCGGCCCGCCAGGGAGACCTCGTGTGCGCAGAGTGTGGGAAGTGCTTCACCCAGCCCAGCCACCTCAGGGCCCACACACGGGCGCATGCAGGTACGACTTCCTCCCGTTCCCATCACCCCCTGTGCAAAGGGGTCCTGGGGGCACAACTGCTTCTGCCCATTGCTTTATTTTCCATGA